CACATTTGCTGAGAATTTCTTCATCTGTATTCAATAGGGCTATTGACCTGTGATTTTCTTTTCATTTACTGTCCTTGAGAGACATCGGTATCATGATAATGCCATCTTCATAAAATGGGTTTGGAATGCATCATCTACCACTTTTTGGAAAAGTTTGCTAAGGATTGTATTTGTTATTCATTAAATTTTTAACAGAGTTAATTAGTAGAAACATCAAGATTTTCTTTGATGGGGTCTTTTTATTTCCAATTCAGTCTTCTTTCTCATTATTTGTTCAGATTATTAAGTTCTTCATCATTCAACCTTGGTAGGTTGTATGTGCCAAGGAATTTATTCATTTCTTTTAGGTTATTCAATTTGTTGGTGAGCAATTGTCCGTATTAGTCCCTTATAATCCTTTTTATTTCTGTATCAGTTGTAGTGTCTCCTTTGTCATTTCTTATTTTATTTATTTTAGTCTTTTTTTCTGGCTAGGTAAAGGTTTGACAAAAATTAAAGGAAACATAAGAAAGATGATGGAGGGTTGTGGGGAGACTTATTGGTGTTGATAACGTGCCTGTCTTTGGTGACCTGCAGCGGATAAGCTGCTAGCCGCCCGCAGGTGCTCATCGCCTTACTAATCAGGCAGACCGAATCCAAGCTCTCTCATTGCCGTGTTGTGGGGAGGCCTTATTTTTCTCTATTTCTCTATCTCCGGGTATTCCTATCTCTCCTATTTTACTTCTATCTGCCACCATTCCTATTTCTCTCATTTTACTTCTATACTTCTGTTTCTCTTATCCCCGCGGCTTCCCGGCGCCGGCCCCGAGGCTGCTTCTCGGCGCTTCGCCCCGTGGCGGCTTCCCAGCTCTGTGCGGCTTCAGCCCACGCTTCTCTTATCTGCGCGGCTTCCCGGCTTCGCGCGCGCTCCGCGGTCTCAGCGCCCTTCGCGCCCGCACCACGGCCTCCGCACCAGCCCTGCACTTCCTATCTACTCGCGCCCCGTGCACTCTCTCTGCTTGTGCCCCTCGTGCTTTCTCTGCACGCGGCGGCTTCCGCGAATCAGGGCCTAGCTCACGTTTCTGCTTCTCGGTTTTCAGTCTAAGTTCCCCGGGCTAACCTGACGAAATCCAACCTAGCTTATGTCTCCGCCTTTCAGTTTGGCTTCCTGTCTTTTGCTCCCCGGGCTGATCTGACGGATTCCAACCTAGCTTACGTCTCCGCTTCTGGTTTTAGTTTTTCGCCTTTTGCTCCCCGGGCTGACTTGACGAATCCCAACCTAGCTTACGTCTCCGCTTCAGCCTGCCCTCGCGGCTTCACTTTCCCTAACATATTTTTCTCTACCCGGTATGTTTCCTAACTTTTCTTCCAACAATATTCCCCTCTCATTTCTCCTGGCTTCTCCCCACAGTCCGTATCCGAGTCTAAGTTTCTTCTAGCTTTCACTTTCGCTTTCAACCATAGATTTCTCCTAACTTCCCCGCCATAGTCCATATCCGAGTCTATGTTTCTTCCAGCTTTCACTTTTGCTTTCAATCCTAACTTCTTCTGGCACTTTTTCCGTCTGGGTTTTCCCTAGGCTCTTTGCTAGTCTCTCTCTCCGGTATTTTCCCGCTTCTTCCCGCCTAGGTTTCCTATCCGAGTCACGGCACCATTATCCCTCCTAAGCTTCATATCCGAGTCATGGCACCATTATGTTGCTCCCCCTCTTCGCGGAGGAACGACACAGGACCTTGTGCTGTTCTTTTGCCTGCTCGGCCCTTCCCGGGTTTGCTGCTGGTTCTTCCCAGGTTGGCTGCAGATCCTTCCACCTCTGTGGAAGGGCGGCTCCCCCTGCCACTTTCCCCACTTCCGCGGGGGAGCAGCACACCACCGGCCGGCTCTCTCGGGGGCTGCTCAGATGTTATCCGGATGTTCCTCTTAGATGTTCCTGGTGCATGTTGTCTCTCTCCTCCTTTATAGTTCTCTTCCACCAATCCCAACTCTGCTACCCACACGCCGAGTACGCTGCTCTCCTCCAATCAGGAGCAGGATCAGCTCCTGCAGGTTATTTGTCGAACTGGAGGCAGCTGTGTAGAAGTTGTTTACTCCTCTCCCAGTGTCATATTGTGGGAGAGCAGATGCATAGAATAAGTCTTAATTCCAGTAACTTAGTCTAGTCCGAGTTGCTCCCCACAGAGGGTGGGAGTGAGAGACAGAGAAAGAAAGGGTGAAAAGTATCATTCTTAAAACTGTATATATGAAATGCATGAAACCTGTTCTCTTTGAAAAAATACTATAAAACTGAATTCAGCAGTGCATTAAAATTGCGTCCATCATGACAAAGTGGGATTTATTCCAGGGATGCAAAGAAGATTCAATATATGCAAATCAATAATTGTCATCTATTAACAGAGTGAGGGCCAAAAATCCTATTATCACCTTAAAATATGCAGAAAATTCATCCAACAAAATTTGACAAGATGTTCTCAACAAACTGCATATAGAAGGAATGTACTTCAACACAGTAACAATTATATATAACAAGCATACAACTAATGACATCCTCAACAATGAAAGTTGAAAGCTTTACCTCAAAAATCAAGAATAGGACAAGGATGCCTACCTTCATCTCTTGTACTAAATATAGTATCACTGGAAAGTTTAGATGAATAAATTTATAAGAGAAATAAAAGGATTTAACTTGGAAAGGAAGAAATTAAGTTGTCCCTGTGTGTAGATAACATGCTCTTACAAATAGAAAATCTTCAGTTGTCTATCAAAAAACTGTTAGAATTAATAAACAAATTAAAGTTGAAAGACAAAAAATTAACTTACAATAAGTCAGTATCAATTCTATATACTCAAAATGAACTATTTGAAAAAAAATCAAGAAAACATTCACAATTACGATAGGTACCAAAAAAATTTTTAGGGATAAACTTAATTAAGGAGGTTAAAGATTTGTATACTGAAAATTGTAAAACATCCATGAAGGAAATTGAAAGTATATACAAATAAATGAAGAGATAACCTGTGTTTGTATATTAGAAATTAGTACTGTTAAAATGTCTATACTATACAAACTGATCTACAGATTCAATACAATCCCAATTAAAATCACAATGTCATTTTTCACAGAAATAGAAAAAATAATCATAAAATTCAGATGAAGCCATATAGACAACAAAGAGCCAAAATATCCTCGAGTCAAAAGTATATCACATTGACCTTACAATAGCGTACAAAGTTATAGTAATACAAACAGCATCACATAAAGAGTTCAGAAATAAATTCATGCATTTACAATTGATATTCAAAAATTTTTTTGTTTATTTAAAAGGCAGGGTTACAGAGGGGGAGAGAGAGAGAGAGAGAGAGAGAGAGAGAGAGGTCTTGCATCACCTGGTTCACTCCCTAGATGGCCACAATGGTTAGGAATGGGTCAGGCTGAACCCAGGATCTTGGAACTCCATCTGGATGCACTCAGGCCATTTTGCACCGATTTCCCATATGCATTAGCAGGGAGTGGGATTGGAAGTGGAGCATGTAGGATTTGAACTGGTGCTCAAATAGATTGCCAGTGTCACAGGTGGTGGCTTAACCCACTACGCCAGAACATGAGTCCCAAGCAGTTTATTTTTGACATTTCAAAGAGCATACAATGTGGAAATGACAGCATATTCAATAAATGGAATGAGGAGAATTAGATAGGCAAATACAGAACAATGAAATTAGACTCCTTTCTCATCCGAGGTAACAAAGAATCAACTAAGCCTCATACCTGAGATAAAACTAGTTGAAGAAAACATGTTGGAAAAACTCAAATACATTGAACCAGACCATGATTCCTTGGATATGATTCTAAAATCACACATAACAAAAATAAAAATAGATAAATGGGATTACATATAAGTAAATGCTTTTGCATGACAAAGAGAGTAATTAACAGAAAGAAGAGACAATCTATGGAATGGAAGAAAATATTTGCCAATCACATTTCTGATAAGGGCTTAACATTCTAAATGTATAAGGAGCTTAAAAAAAAACTCAATGGCCAGAAAAAAAAGTCAAAAATGTGCAAAAGATCTGAAGAGACATTTCTGAAAAGAAGACATACAAATTACCAGATATATGGAAGTATCCTCAACATTACTAATCATCAGGGAAATGAAAACTAAAAGCTACAATGAGATATCACCTCACACCTACCAGAATGAGTTTATGAATGTTCTGTGGGTGTTTTCCTGCAGATAGATAGCAGATGCCTCGCCAGTCCTCACTATCATAGTGGAAAATCTTATAAAATTTATTGATGATCTCTGACAATACATGATTTGTAATGAATCTTTTATTTCTCAACTATGAAATATTTCTTCCAAAACATGCATATATGCTTTTGTTGTACTACTGTTATATTAATAAATTAGATAATTTTAATTAAAAATATTTCTTGAGAATCTAATATGTACAACCTAATGTTTTAAGTGCTAGGAATAAAGCACTAAGTATGCCTAAGTGGACTTGACTTCCCAGAATTTACTGTTGTATGGAGGGCTCATAAGTAAGATGTGTTAAAATAACAGCTATAAAGAAAAGTGAAGGTAAAGGGACTGTTAGATGACATAGGAGAAATGTAAGGAAGACATCTATCAAGGAGAGATCAGTGCTTAGAACCTGAAAATGAGTAAGAGACAACCATGAGAAATGTGGCAGATCCAGGCAGAAATAATGTTCAAAGGCTTCAAGGGAGAGAAGATACATGGAACTTTTCGGGGAGCTGTAAGGAACTGGGTGTGAAAGAGAGAGAGTATGAAGGAGGAAGCGGCTTGAAATGAGGTGTCAGTTGTGGAACAGCACTGTCTCCTAAGCTAGGTGCTCTGGGCTCGGGCTTTGGCTGAAGTGCAGTGAGTAACCTGAAGGGTTTCCAGCAGGAAGAGGATGGCACAGAAAGTGAGACCAGTTAGCAATGATAAAGCCAAGGCTGTAGCTGACTAATCAATGATGATCTATAAATACAAGAATTGTGTTCTTATTTATAGAATTACATCGAGTGTGCTGAAAAACTGTACAATGCCAAAGTGGAACGAGTTGACTTTACAAATGATGTAGAGGATACTAGATATAAAATTAATAAATGGATTGAAAATGAGACACATGGTAAGTACAATATTTTTCTGTGACATTTGTAAGTTATGAGTGAATGCTGAGAATTTCAATACTGGATGTCTTTTGTACATATAATTCAAAATAATGATTGCTATGTTAAAAATTACTTTAGTATTTGTCTGCAATGTGATTTTGAGTAATCTTAAAAATTTGAATGTTTTATACTTTAAAAAGATTTTACCTTTTACATGATCTCCTTTTATTGAATAATAACTCTATAAGACAAACAGGATCATTTCATAAATTAATAGAATGCTGGGGTAATTTACTGAATTAACTTCAATCTCTCACCCTTCTTAATGAACAAAACTAAGCTTGGTTTATATAACATTATTTTTAACAACTACAACATAATATTTCATTCTAATGATAAACTCATATTTATACTACTGTGCAGATTTTAATATCTTATTGATCCTTCTTGGGTTGATCCTTACTAAGTTATAATATTCTCCTGCCAGACATGTTTTCATGTCATTGCTTTTTCTAAAGGATGTATACAGCTTATCTTTCCTTTTAAAATTCTTGATGTTTATCAAAATAATATATGTGACCAAATTAGTATCTTCCAAAAAGTGAAAATCCTAGTTGATAAGTCTCTCAAAACTAAAAACTGAATCCCACCAATATTTTGGTTTGGTATAAAACAAATCAGAAAATCTATTCATCTCTGCTTTTGTTTATTAGCTGATTACAAAGACAATTATTTGCTTACTGAAAATTTGGCCTCATTTTTTTTAAAATTTTTATTTTTTGACAGGCAGAGTAGACAGTGAGAGAGAGAGAGACAGAGAGAAAGGACTTCCTTTTGCCATTGGTTCACCCTCCAATGGCCGCCGCGGCCGGGGCGCTGCAGCCAGCGCACCGTACTGATCCGATGGCAGGAGCCAGGTGCTTCTCCTGGTCTCCCATGTGGGTGCAGGGCCCAAGGACTTGGGCCATCCTCCACTGCACTCCCTGGCCACAGCAGAGAGCTGGCCTGGAAGAGGGGCAACCTGGACAGAATCCGGCGCCCCGACCAGGACTAGAACCCGGTGTGCCGGCGCCGCAAGGTGGAGGATTATTGGCCTCAATTTTTAATCTGAATGTTGTGCATGCATTTTCTGGTCTCGCTCTGTTCCAGAAATGTGAGACATTGTTACTTGCACTCTCCTGTGCAAACCTTTAAAGGGATACAATTAGTCCTGGGAATAAAAATACATTATTTCAAATTTCATTTTTTCATTAATTCATTGTTATACCAGCAATGGGTTACTCTGATCTGTAGCCACCATGTGTTTCAAATACAGAACTCACAAATCAAGAGAACCTAATTGTTACTTTACTAATAACTGAGTGAGATTCTATTTAGCATTTACAGATATCAGATTACTAACACTTTTAGGTATTTGGATCCTTTATTTATCATCTTTCCTTACTCATGTGAATGCATGTGTGATTATTCACATTTAAAAAAAGATTTATTTATTTTATTTGAAAGAGGCAGAGTTACAGAGACGCAGAGGCAGAGAGCGAGAGAGAAGAAGAGAGAGAGAGAGAGAGAGAGAGAGAGAGAGAGAGAGAAAGGTGTCTTCCATCTACTAGTTCACTCCCCAGATAGCCACTACTGTCGGAGCTGTGCTGATCTGAAGGCAGAAGCCAGGAGCTTCTTCTGGATCTCCCACGTGGGTACAGGGGCCCAAGGACTTGAGCCATCTTCCACTGCTTTCCCAGGCCATAGCAGAGAGCTGGATCAGAAGTGGAGCAGCTGGGACTCAAACCAGCGCCCACATGGGATGCTGGCACTGCGGACAACGGTTTTACCCACAATGCCACAGTGCCAGCCCTAACTATTCTTTTATGAAATTTATGAAAGCGTATGTTCTCAATACTTATTTGAGAAAGCACTTGGAACTGTTGCCAATATTGTGAACAACCCCAACCAGGTGTTACGACTCCTCTCCTCTACTAGAGCCATCCCATTGAAAGGCTAGTGACCATGCCATTCTTGTCTTTTAATGAATCACGAACCAATTCATTGCTGTTAGAATAATCCGAAATCCTTACCAGATATTCAAGGCTCTTCATTATATAACTCCTGCCTTATCATCCCTAAAACACAGGGATAAGTTTGGGTTTCCCAAAATGCACTTTGGTCTTCCAGATTTTTGTGTCTTTGAATAACTAATTCTTGCTTGTTGGAAATTTCCCTACCACTCAACTCTCCTCGACTTAACCAATAGCAAATAGCCCCAGAAAGAGTCCAGTGCCCTTAGTCTTGCTCCCACAACACACTCATCACACCTCCATGGTGTGCTATTTGTGTTACATCCAATCTGGTGATTGTTGACTTCTTTGTGCTAGATTGTGAGCCCAATAATGGCATGAGCTTTGTCTTTAATTTTAATTTGACACACATGGCATCTGGCAAAAATTTTCTTAATTAAGGAGGGAATTGGTTCTTTCAACTGAGTACAGGTGAATTATACTTGTAGTGTTGCAATGATTCACAATGGACTAATCAATTAGAAAAAAAAAATTTGGTGCCTATGAGTAGTGGCTCTGGGGATGGTCTTCCTGATTACCACTGCTTTGTTGTGTGATGTTGTATGTGTTATTCACTTCCTCTGTGCCTCAGCTTCTTCAACAGGAAACAGAAGCAATAATAGAGCCTACCTTGTTTGAATTTTGTGAGAATTAAACAAAATATTACCTCTAAAGGGTTTAGGAAATGCTGGACACATTAATTACTCATAAGTTGTTACTAATATCTTAATTACTGTTATAGGTATTGCATAAGAAAAGTGATTCATGAATGGTCTGAAAAATATTTTAAAATTTTTGCTTTAAAAGTTATCATTTTTACCACTTTATTTTCCTAAAGGCAAAATTAAGAAAGTGTTTTCTGATGGTAGCATAAGCTCATCTGCTGTCATGGTGCTGGTGAATGCTGTATACTTCAAAGGCAAGTGGAAGTCTGCCTTCACCAAGAGTGAGACATTAAACTGCCGCTTCAGATCTCCCAAGGTATGCAAATCTCCCGTTTAATTTGGGAAGTTTTTCTTAAGAGTATTCCTTGTGTGGGACGGGGGGGGGGGGCGGTATGGGGGAAAGAACCACTATATTCTTAAAGTTATATCTATGAAAAATGTATTCATTAAATAAAAATTAAAAATGAGTATGCCTTGCAAGTAATTTTGGAATTTACATAGGCTGGTTTTATCTTTTTTTTTCCTCATTTATTCTTCAGCATTACCATTACTATATTTTCAGTTGCTTTGTAAAGCAAACTTTTAATTTTCCTGCTAGTAACCTATGAAACACAACCAAAAAAAGTCCCAAAAATTGGTGTTTATTAAAAAATCTTTAAAATGTAAAGAAGTATTAAAGTTTCAGACCATAAAAAGAAAATATGACAAAACATACCTTTAATATTTTGTGATTTTAATTATAGAATCTACAGTTGGAATCATTTGCCATCAATGATTCTTGCCAGTCAGAGCCAGGATATGTTTTCCTTTCACAAGAAAATAAATCTATATTTGGTAATGTTATACATTTCCAAATATTAGTTTTATCTCTTTATTCATTTAAATCTGTTTTTATCTGAAACATTACTGACCTTTACAAAACATATTTTTATTAATTTCCAATATTTCTTTTTTTTATTTTTTATTTATTTTTTGACAGGCAGAGTGGACAGTGAGAGAGAGAGACAGAGAGAAAGGTCTTCCTTTGCCGTTGGTTCACCCTCCAATGGCCGCTGCGGCCAGCGCGCTGCGGCCGGCACACCGCGCTGATCAGGTACTTATCCTGATCTCCCATGGGGTGCAGGGCCCAAGCACTTGGGCCATCCTCCACTGCACTCCCGGGCCACAGCAGAGAGCTGGCCTGGAAGAGGGGCAACTGGGACAGAATCCGGCGCCCCGACCGGGACTAGAACCCGGTGTGCCGGTGCCGCAAGGCGGAGGATTAGCCTAGTGAGCCGCGGCGCCGGCCCCAATATTTCTTATTTACTAGTCTGCATTTTATTTCTAAGAGATAAAAATCTATAGATTCGGCCAGCACCACCGCTCAATAGGCTAATCCTCCACCTGTGGCGCCAGCACCCCGGGTTCTAGTCCTGGTTGGGGTGCCGGATTCTGTCCCAATTGCTACTTTTCCTGTCCAGCTCTCTGCTCTGGCCCGGGAGTGCAGTGGAGGATGGCCCAAGTCCTTGGGCCCTGCACCTGCATGGGAGACCAGGAGAAGCTCCTGGCTCCTGGCTTTGGATCAGTGCGGTGCGCCGGCCGCAGTGCGCTGGCCGCAGCGGCCATTGGAGGGTGAACCAACGGAAAAGGAAAACCTTTTTCTCTTTCTCTCTCACTGTCCACTCTGCCTGTCAAAAAAAAACTATAGATTCATTTTTCAGTTTAATGGTTTGATAATTGTCAATTATTTATTATATAAAAATTTTCCATTAAGCATCAAGTACAAGACAATGTTCCAAGTGCTAGAGAGAAAATGTATGTAATCCTTACAGTAATTCTGGGCAGCAAGTACTATTGTCATTCCCACTATATTGTTGAGAATGTGGAGGCACAGAAAGGTGAACTCACTTACCAAAGTCACAGTTAGGAAATTTTATACTCATTCAACAAAATGCAAGGTCTATGATTTTACCACTAAGATGTACCCCAGTGCAACAACTAAAGGGATGCATAGGATCAAATGTGCAAAATCTTACTGACCAAGTATGATGACCTTATAAGTCCATGGACAATAAGCAAAATGAGCTGGGATTATAAATAATATTTTGTGGTTTAAATTTCAGTGTTCTGGGAAATCAGTGGCCATGATGCATCAAGAACGGAGGTTCAATTTGTCTGCCATTCAGTACCCAGCCATGCAAGTTCTTGAGCTCAGATACCATGGTGGCATAAGCATGTACATTTTGCTGCCTGAGATTGACCTGTCACAAGTAGGTTATCATTGTCACTTTCACTATTGGGGAATAAAAATACTTTTGGGATAATGTTGATTGTGTTTTCATCTACTGACTATTATTTCAAGTTGTTGGGATATTAGAATCTTATCTATTTATTTATTTGATAGATATTTAAGGGATATCGACTATGTACCAGACACCATCATAGATTGACTTAGTTCTGTTTTTCATAATTTTAATTGAGTAGCTGTAAAGTTGAATCCTCTCAAATCTCAGCTGTTGGGTTCAGAAGGCAAGAGTTGAGATCTTTGTGCTTGGCCTTGAAAATGGTCTTTTAGGTGTTATTGAACTCGTAATAGACTAAGAATCTTATGGCAGGTATGACATGGAGTCCTGAGCTCTTGAGAATGAAAATGTGTGGTTCCATTCTGTGCTGCTTTGTCTCCAGCATGAAGCAATAGTGAGGGTCTTCCCTGTGTCTAAGATAAGGGGAGGAACAGAGCAGCACAGTGCAAGGGGCCATGCCAGAAAGATGCCTTCACACTTCTCAAATCCTGGTCTTCTTTCTCTTCTCCTCCTGAACTTGACTCTTTAAGTCTGTTATCTGTAATCCAGAGGCATAGATATTATCTACTTTTCTCTGTTCTTCCAATAACAAGAAATGCAGACACTGTCTATTGACCCCTGCTACATGCTAGCCCATGTACTCTTCATTTCACTGATTTGATCAACAGCAACCATATGAGATAAGGAAAGGAGGCTCCAGGAATTTAGTTAGTTTGTTTGATAGACACCTATATACGAAAATGTATTTGTGTGTGTGTGTGTGTGTGTATGTCAGCCACATTGAAAAGCTACAATTACAGTTTTAAATATTTGTTAAGTTTTGGTTTATAAAATAATACATATTTATTATTATATAATTAGAAAGTGGAAAGAATATAAAGAAACTGATGCTCTTACCATCCAGAGACATTAATTTTACTTGTCTTTCCTATGGCTTAAAAACATTCAAGCTTTAGAAATACGGTTTGTTTGTTTTTTTGCTAAAGATCAAGCTTACTTATTTAGGCTCAAAATGATTTTCATTTTAAAGATCTTTTTTGACATGAGAAGCAAGAGAAATGTCACAGAGTTGGCGCTGTTAAATCTAAAGTCACATTATTAAATATTGATACTCATTAAATAAATAATTAGAGACTCTCCATAACAATTTGATTAGGAATATCAATTATTTTAATCTAAAATAATCTGTGTTAATAGGAAAAGTAAGCCAGATAAAACAAACAGTACATAGCTCAAAAGGTATATTTTTTTGTACTTTTTGTCTGAATTTTCTTTTCTATAATAGATTTACCTAACAATATGTGAATCATAATGATATAAGCCTGCATACTATATAAGCTTAAATACTTATCTAATTCTGCAAAGCCAGATACTTATTATGAACTTAGTTCTTCAGTGGGCTAAATGGGGAAAAATAATTAAAACTCAGAATAAAACATTGTAATATATTTATAACTGGAAAAATTTCATGCAGAAAATTGAAGTTAGGGTAAGTTTGGTTATACAGATTTAGATCCTTGATACAAATACAAGTAAAGTTTATGAAAAGCTTTATTAGAGTTCCAGTGAACCTGAATTTGAGAAAAATGCCCATATATAATATTTCTAAGCAGTCTTCAAGAAAATCTTATCATTCTAAATCTGGGAGAATCTATGATCAATTATCGGTATTCAGGAGTTGGTGAATTCGATTTGTGAATGGTTTGGGGTTGGTAAGATGTTAGAGAGATTCAGGTTCCTAACTATGTAACTAGGGTGGCTTGTTACGTAGCCTAAGTGGATCTCCCTACATCCTTTAGAGCTTCAGTAGTCTCCTCCATGGCATAAAAAAGCCAGTTCAGATCCAAGTTTCCCAGACAGCGTAGGTGGCTTTGCTAGGAGATACTGATCACCCACGTTTTTGAGGTTGGTGCTCTGCGCTCCCAACACTAGGATCTCCTAGGACTCCATTAATTTACTCCTGCAATCCATGCAGGATTTTTATGTTTTTCATGAGAGGATCATCAGAAAACATTGATTTATTTTACAACAGAGCTCTTTATTCTCTACAATGATTTCTGATTCCTGTATTCCTTCATTTCCCGTTGCTCAATGGTGGCTATGTCTGTTCACATGTGGGCAGAGAGCAAAAATGCCCTGAAGTGCAAGCAAGTTATGCTTTGTCACAGCAGAACAAAACAAACATGGATGTGTTAGAACCTATTAATTTAAATCATTTTCCCTTTCCAGACTCCCCCAGGACCCATTCTCAAACATAAGCAAAAAATTCCAGGAAGGGTAGTTTTAGAAAACCACATATCCTTACAGATTTTGTTTCATCTGGTTCCTAATCATACAAGTTCAATTACTTTTAAATTATTTCTGCAGGTTGAAAACAAACTGACCTTTCGGAATCTAATGGACTGGACCAGTCCAAGAAGAATGAAATCTCAGTATGTTGAGGTGTTTCTTCCTCGGTTCAAGATAGAGAAGAATTATGAAATCAAAGAACACCTGCGAGCCCTGGGGCTGAGTGATATCTTTGATGAATCAAGAGCTGATCTCTCTGGCATCGCCTCGGGAGGTCGCCTCTACATATCGAAACTGATGCACAAATCATTCATAGAGGTTTCTGAGGAGGGAACCGAGGCAACAGCGGCCACAGGAAACAACATTGTAGAAAAGCAACTTCCTGAATCTACAGTGTTCAGAGCTGATCACCCATTCCTATTTGTCATCAGGAAAGATGACATCATCTTGTTTAGTGGCAAAGTCTCTTGCCCTTGAAAATCCTGTTAGTTTCTATTTGTAGTCCCTGCCACAGCAAAGAAACATCACAAGTGAATAGATTTAGTTGGAAGCATGTGGTGTTGCTCTTGAGTTGATTTTTTCCTGACAGTGGCCAGCAGATGATATTGGGACTTGACTCCTCTTGGACACCTGGTTGATTGTCTTGATCCCTGCTCTTAGCCTCACCCATTTCTGATTTCATTGTCTTTCTATGCACACTCATCTCTACTATTCTCCCCCATGGCCCACCTGGGAATTATAGAGAGGGTTCCATTGGTAATGAGAATGTAGCAGCAGCCCTAGGAATCTTCTTGGGTTTTTGCAGTTATCACAGATATACAGTTTCATTGTAAAGGATCTGGGGAGTAAGATCATCTGTTTCCTGGAAATAAGGATGAAGGGTAAGTTTTCCTGGTTGGCCCAAGAAGACATGATAGTTTACTTTAAAACATTTGATGTTAAATCAGTGTATACTCTAGATGTTAAAAAATATGGAGTTGGAATTGGGAACCAAGCAAGATAATTTTAAGTTGACATATTTTGTGATTTTTCTTGAAAAGATTTAATGTGTACATAGTTTTTCAGACATTAAAAACCTTTCAACTGTTGGAAGCTATTATTTACAATATATTATATCATTTGCTATGTAGTTTACAAGTTTTTTCCTATTTATCAGAATAAATACAATATACTGGTACATGTGTTTGTTCTACTCTGACCAATTATGAGACCAAAACATTTAATTTTCCAAACCAAGAAAGCAATGAAAGGAAGAAATAATAGAATACGAATAAGCTTAATATGCCTCAATGTTGCTTATTTATTGGATAGAAAGTTGTTTATACAGATACTTGTATAAGTTGATGAGCTAATTTTAAATGCCAGGGTTTAAATTCAGAATAGAAGTGATTCACCTGTATGAATATTCCAAACAAGTTATAAGTAAATTTACAAAAAAAACTTACACTTGGTTAAGAATGATTTACATAGGGGGTAGCCAATGATACAGCACTGGGGTGCTTAGGTCTGTTTTTGGCAGATGTTTGATTTTCAACAAATGCTATAGAATCTATTAACATGATATAAATGAGAAGATAGGGCATGATTTGAAATATGTAGAAAATTCCTCATCAAAATAATTCAAATACAACTATGCAACACCTGAAGTAACTATTATATCTCTGAAGGACCTTTATGGGAATAACTTTTACTGGTATGCAGTTGCATATTTTGGGGGATTAATTGATATTTTTGATTACCATTCCCATCTATTATGCCATCAAAATTAGTGTAACACTCAGTGGATGGAAGAAAGGAGCGAGCATTCTGATGGTAGCCGTGGAGTCACACACATGACCACTCTTCCTGCTGATAGGACTCTCTGGGCAGCCGAGGTGACACTCCACTCCACTGGGGTTTAGGTACACATCAGAGAGAGTAAAAGTGAGAGCTGTAAGGAAATAGCTATGTCCTTGTGCCTCCAAGTTGCTATAACAAAATGTCATAGACTGGGTAATTCATAAATAATATGAATTTGTTTCTTATAGTTATGAAGCCTTGAAGTTCAAAATTAAGGTCCCACTAGATTCAGTGTCTAGTGAGAGATTGCTCCTCACGTGGTTCCCTCTTGCTTTACCCTCAGTGGTAGAAAGGGTGGAAGAGGCAAGACAGCTGTGATAACTTATTTATTTATTTATTTTATTTTTCACAGGCAGAGTGGACAGTGAGAGAGACAGAGAGAAAGGTCTTCCTTTTGCCATTGGTTCACCCTCCAATGGCCACCACGGCCAGCGCGCTGTGGCCGGCGCATCGCGCTGATCCGATGGCAGGAGCCAGGTGCTTCTCCTGGTCTCCCATGCGGGTGCAGGGCCCAAGGACTTGGGTCATCTTCCACTGCACTCCCTGGCCACAGCAGAGAGCTGGCCTGGAAGAGGGGCAACCGGGACAGAATCCAGTGCCCCAACCGGGACTAGAACCCTGTGTGCCGGCGCTGCAAGGCGGAGGATTAGCCTATTGAGCCACGGCACCGGCCTCTGATAACTTATTATGTGGCCACAAACCCCATTCAGGAGGGTGGAGCCCACATGATCTAATCACCCCATTGGCCCCGCCTCTTAGCACTATTGTGATGGTTGTTAGACTTGATAAATTTTGAGAAGATTCCAACATTCAGACAACAGCACTATTTAAAACAACTAAATACAAATGTTCCTTACAATGTTGGTTTGTTGGTCCAGCTCGTAAGTCCATCTCATGTTTCAAGGCCCCATCTCATCCAGAGAAGGGCTCTTCACGTAATCGTGATCTAGCAGCAATTGGTGGGAACTTTCTCAGGCTCAAAACAGCTTCTGAAACATTTGATGTTTTCTAGCTGCATGAATTTGCCAAGTCAAGCCACTCTTAATCATGCTAAACTTACTTCAGGTTTTCTCATTTCGTAGAATGAATTTATGGACTGATAGTTTCCTTTTCAAATCTGTGATCCTTCTATTTCTTAGAAGGAGAACTTTCTATATTCATTGTTTAAAAATCTGTTATTATCTCTAGTTTATGAATACTGGGTCAGAGAAATCAAATAACTCACTAGAAATATAGTGAAAGACAAAGTTCATAATAGAACTGAATTTGTATACAAGCTCTCTGTTATCAAGATGTGTGATTGACCATTTCAATGGATTATCCCATCATCAGAGCAAATACGTCCCTTGGGTTCTATACATGTGATCAGAACTACCTGGTGTATCCCAGAGGGTGGTTTTTGGTTGCTGGGTGATCATGTGAATTACCAGGGCACAATCTTCCCAAAGAGATGAGTGGTAGAAAAATCTAAGGAAGGGGTCAGTGTGTCACAAAGTCTTACAATAGGTCCCAGGGGCCAGTATAGTGGCACAGCAGGTAAAGCTGCTGCCTGAAACACCAGCATCCCTTATGAGCACTGATTCGTGTCCTTGCTGCTCTACTTCCAATTCAACTTGCTGCTAATGGCCTGGGAACAACATCAGAAGATGGACCAGGTGCTTGGGTCCCTGCACACACAAGGGAGACCTGGATGAGACTCCTGGCTTCAGCCTGGCCAAGCACTGGTCATTGTGGCCATCAGGGGGAATAAACAATGGATGGAAAATCTCTCTCTCTCTCTCTCTCTCTCTCTAACTCTCTAAAATAATTTTAAAAAAAGAAATATCTTCATCTCCATAGTTATTTTTATTTTCTTGTGACTGGAGCTTCACCCCCACACACACACTTTTTTCTCTTTCCTGTTCCCCAGTTATAAAAATTCAAGTCAGATGACACTGGGAACAGAGACACACTGGAATCTCACAGGATTTTACTTCTGTGCAGTGTGAAGAGTGTGGGAGGCTGTCACGCAAATGGTGACGTTTCTGTTCTTTATGATAGGTCAGCCAGCCAGCCAAAGTACTTAGATGACTCTTCTCTGTGTAGGAATTCTTCAGGCTACTTTATCAGAACCACATCTCTAGGCTGGGAAAATTGCTGGCTGCCGGGCCTATGGGTATTGGCAAGACATCACATAAATCAAATCTTTCAGAAGAAAGGATTACAACTTTCCTATTAATATTCTTATCCAAACCCAGCTACCACAAGTTTTCCTTTTCAAGTGCTCTTTTAGGAAACTTATCATAAAGAACCTCGTGCCCTTTTTAGAACAGGCAGGAGCATTTTCCTGAAGCTTATTGCTCTCCTTAACCGAGGTGCTCTGTATAACAGCAGAGGTGAGAATCACTCTTAATTCAAATGTCTTTGAAGAAGCCCCTTAAAGTACTTATAGTATATACAAGATGACAACACAGTCACCAAAAATATGCTCTCTGTCTGGTGTATCCAAAACCCAGACCAGGGTCCCAAGCGAGGCCAGGGTTAGGGGGAGGCCAACAAGGCTCCCACGGATGCCAAATTTAAGGAGCCAGCTCTGTATTTGTATGACCCTGAGCACAAGTGCTTCCTCAAATTGCACAAAAAGGTGGTTCATTGTTAAACGGAAGCTCACTGCCAGGGTCTCAGGGTCCTGCAAGTACTGACTTTTATCTGCGGAGCATTCCTTAAAATTTGTTCCCCAGGCTCTTCTGTCATCATAATCTCAGCACTAACCCCAAGAGGCTGGAAACTCCACTGTGGTTCTTCAGACTGGCCCAACACAGGGAAGGGAATTGAGAACACAATTCTGCAGGGACTGGACTCCCACCACCTAATTCCACCTGGTGCTAATTCAGTGACAGATACCAGCAGAAGCAGAAATGCGAGGATTCTGAACTGTCCTCTAGCCTCATTGCTCCAGTCAGTGTCCAGAGCAAGGAAGAGCTTGATGAATGTAGGAAGGAAGACAGAAATGAAAAATGTCCTTCCTCCTGGGACTGCCCTCTCACATGGGCTATCTCCTCTGAAAAGGCCTGGAGTTCCTAAGCCCTCTGTGGTTGTGAGCAGCCACTTAAGGAAGGCAGCAAGTCAACACGAGTTCTGCCAGCCCCACAACCCTACCACAGGAACTTGAAATTGTAGTAAACTGAATGTTTGTTTTAGTCAACTGTGAAATAGAATTTCTATTTCTGAATAAAAAATTTTCATATAAAATAAAATGAATGGCTTTAAGAGGAAAAATAAGCCCCTAGCCAAACATATTAGTCACATCTGGAAGTATGTAGTAATATTTTTGCAAAGAATAGTGGTGTCAAATTTTGAGGCTAAAAGAAAAATAGTGAAATTACAGTATATATATATATATATATATATATATATAATGTATTATTCTGATTTGCAAGTGCTATCAAGGGTCAGTCCCATTGGGAATCACAGTGTATGGAAAATGGAATGTATCTTTTGGCAGGATCCATGGATAGATACTTAAAGAGGTAAATACACTGACAGAAGCCAGATGTGTGCTACAGGAAATAGTTAATAAAACAGAATCTTTTAGTTTGCAGCAAAATCTCACCCATTTTGTTTATACATAAAATTCTCAGCCAAACATCAAGAGCCTTCATTGTTTTTTTCCTTTATAAGGGTGGGAAACTGAGGCTTAGGTTTAGTAATTTAACACAGAGATGGAAAGTGGTAGATTTTCAAACCTGCAAATTTTGATGTAAGACCTTAGTCCTTAGCCACAGTCTAACCCTAGCCTAGTCACAGACCCAGAGCCAGGACCCTGTAGTAGGTGTTGAAACAGAACAAAGGGTGGTGGGAGAAATACTTCTGGTGTTTTGTGTAAATACTTTCTACTATCTAAGTAGACACCATTTCCAGATTAAGTCCTTCCAGAAGCAGCCACAGAAGTACAAGAAGACAATTAATGCTAGCTGACCCAAGGAAGTTAAAAAAAAAGATGGGGCAGAGGGAGGGAGCAAGAGTAAAGCATGCAATGATGAAATATGTTGAAATATTTTAATTTTTTAATCTGCATTTTAATGCTGAGAGATTTATTTCTTCTTTTAAAAATTTTACACTCTTGCCTGTGGTCATCTCTAAAGGAAAAAAAAATAAAAGAAACATAAAAATGTTATTGGAGGAATTGGGACTCATAATTACAGAAACTCTTCCCATAACAATAAAATCCTGTGTCTAATTCATTCAAAAGGGGCACACAGAGGCTGGGTACTAAGTCATTCTCTCTTT